ATAACAGGGAAGCCCAAGCGGGATCGAATCCTTGACGTCGTAGGTTCACAATTGCTTATGCCACTATATACTAGGCAGTGCTACCCTAAACCCCGAACCCTTAGGCTTACCTTGGGTTAGTAGGGAATGGAAGAATGGTAGTAATAGTAGTTATACTTGTACCCCATTCCTTCATTCCCTACTAACCAAAGGTAAGTAGGTGGCAAGCTGAGGTACCGTTTGGGACGTCAACCAGACCGCCATCACATGCCAGCTGAAGCTGCTCTGTTCGCACACGATGGAAGTAGAGCGTAGTCAGGGTAATATAGGGGCCTGAATTCAATTACGAAAATTATTTGGGGAACCTTGATTATAAATATACGTAGTAGAATAACCCTGTTCTACTTGTTAAGGCCCCTTATAGGAGAGAGCAGGCAGGGTAATTACTTCATATTGATCTCGGATGGCTGACGCATACGCATTGGAGGCTGTATGCGGGCAATGTAAGGATGTGAGTAGGATCTAGAGGCTACTGACTCAGTCAAGCACCTGATCGATGATCGATCGTGCCGCCACCATCACCAGGGCCATTTTGTCATAGCCAGCCTAGCAGGATGTCACTGTCTGAGGCGAACAGCAATGGTCTTCAAGCCACTTTGCACAGAGAACAAGGATGCTGTGGCCCGCTCCATGTGCTTAGGTGCAGTCGTATGCACAGCTTCAGGTCCGTAAGGACGAAAGCAGAGTGCTAAGTAGAATGCTCAGGATGACGTGCTGACAGTAGATGTGCGGAAAGAACAGCCAATGACGAACGTACAGCCTCAATACAAACATCAACATCTATGGTAGGTGATAGTCGCGAGAGCAGCACAAGCGCCAGCAAGGGTAATGTCAAACGATTCATCAGCAACAGGAAGAATCTGGCTGTTGAGCACGGACCTTGAAGCATCACCAGAGTAGCTGTGCTTGTAGCGGGAAGAGGTGGCTTTGCCGGCGGAAATAACAGTAACAGTGGTTGTACTGCCAGGAAGCCCAACTCAACAGAGCTATTTGCGTTACTCGGTGGGTCAGTGGTGGGTACCAGCAGCATCATCATCATCATCGTTGCGCCGTCATCGTCGTCATCATCGTCATCATCATCACCACGGACCTCATCGTCACATTCTTAATTTTCTTAATTATCGCCATCTCATGCTAGTTGTCCTCATGTTCATCGTGCTCGTTCTCATCTGCGCCCCGTCCTCGCCGTCTTCGTAAGTAGCAGAAAGCATGTCAGGCGCTGGAGGCTTTCCCGGCATGTCGGTTTTTAAGCATTGCCCATCAGGCAGGGTCTCGGGTCAGACCATGTGCGTGTTCAGCCCTTCATTAGAAAAGCTGAATATACGATTGTAGTACAGTACGATGGTGTATCACACTGGAATCAGAAGGTGGCATGCATGCTCAACTTCTCTTTTGCAGACTTTCCTTGCAGGACATCTATAACGAGGATTGTGTCTCGGCGAAGCCTTGATGCCATAAGCTCTTAGTCCAGACTTCGCCTGAAGGGGAAGCGAGCATGCCCGGATCATGTCCATGGCCCAGAACTCATTGTGGGTTTAGGGATGAGGGTTCTACGCCCTAAAAAGCCTAAACCCTGCGAGCCTGTTTGCACGATCCTGATGCAACATTCTGGCCTCCTAGGCGTGGTGAAGCCTCCGAACTTCTTTGTGAAGCCCACGCTGCTGGCTGCTCTGCTAGACGAAGCAATCGCAGCAATGCCTGATAACAAGAGTAATAGTAGCAGGGATTGGAATAGCAAGAGCAAGAGTTTGGGTAAGGGCATCAGTATAAAGGTAAGTCACAGTTGCGATTCCCGTAGTAATCATCATCACATGACTAATACCAAAGACCGGGAGGGGTCATTTAGGGAGCCGCGGGAACGTGCTGTCTTCTGAATGTGCAAGCTGGACACGCTTGGGAGACATGGTGCAGAGGGCTGTTGAAGAAAAGCGACTATAATAGATTCGATCTGGCTAGATTCATGATTGCGACTTCAGGGTAAGAGCGGGGCTCTTTGTGGAATGCATCGTCGCTTGTGGTCGTTAGTCCGGAAAAGCGTCGCTCTTTATTGTGTTGCGCGTTGAAAATTAGACTGGACATGAGAGTCCAGCATATCAATGCACATGGCAGTAATAGCATGTGGCTTCTGTCCCATGCTGGTTGACAGGTTGCAATACATCATGAATGTAGTTCAAGGCCCAAGTGGATCCTTTTCAGGATGATGTTTTATGTAGGCAAAGGCCTCGAAAGCTTCTATGATGGCATCAGTTGCATCTCGCGTGCATCTTGACAATCCTCCTGCATGCAGCGGACATGTTTGAATAATGAGTATTATACGTTAGGGTGCCTTATCGTCACTATTGTCGAATAATGTATCCCAAACCGCTATTCTGATTAACAGCCCCCCCCCCCCCGTATATGGCGGTATTCCGGATATCCGGTGCGAGCACACCCAGGTCACAAGCCGCGGCTATGCAGTCTCACATCGCCAGTCCTACCTGGACACGTGCCTCCTCCGAAGTGGCATGGATGTTAGTAATGGAATGACTTCATTTGAGTTTACTCTCCTCGGTGTGCTGTAGATTAAGTTTATGTTGTTTCGATATCTGCACCTTGCTCACCTTAAATTTCTTCAATCCTGAACTGCCGGCTGATGTGAGTGTTGAAGGTGTCACGTCTCTCAAGGACCACTGCTGGCATTGCATGTTTCTGTTATGTACACTATCTTGTCTGACGCCACCTCTCTACCCCAGTGATCTTCGGAGCACCACAAATCCTCAAACTCAAACCACTTTTCAGTAAACCTTGGATAGGGTTTAGGATTTCGGGTTTAGGGTTTCAACTCCTTCAAACCCCACCCCCAACAGAAACCAATTCCCTGAAGCCCTAAACCCCAAAACCCGAACCCCATGACCCTTACCATAACTCTAAATCCTAAACCCCTAACCCCAAACGCTAAACCCTAAAGCATGAGCTCAAAGCCCTGAAGCACTGACACCCCGAGCGACTTCAGGCGCTTCGAGATCCACAGCGTGTGGCCGCCGGTCGGCTCGGAGGCTCTTTGCCCGCCTTGTGCGGATTGTTGTGCTGCATGCTATAACGACTGCTGCATTACATCAACGATTACTATGTGATGATGACGATGTTTAGTAGTATATAGTGCTATTGTTGTTTTCAACTTGTTCTGATGTTTAATGTTTTATTACCAGAATAAGAATGAGTATGGCATAAGTTGATGCTGTTATTGTTAATATATTGGGATGTTCTTTAGTTGTGGTTCGAATGATGCATGAGGTTCTGGTTATGACCAGTGTTATGATTGTTGTCATGATTGTAATTACTCCTGTTCCTGTCCTTGAGTGTTAGGTTTTAGGGCGTGAGGTTTTAGGGCATGCGGCTTTGTTAAGGCTTTATTTCCTCAGGTTTATGATTTCGAGGGTTTCGGACTCTGATCTACGGTTGAGGGTTGAGGGAGTGGCTCTCAATTCTAGGGTGAATCTGAGCTAAATGACAGGAATGGTCGCGCTATCGTCACGATCCCGAGTCCTTACGACCTTCCTGCCAGCCCAAAAACGAAGTTTCACCCAACACGTGCCTATTCAGCCCCGCTCCTTTTGAACAGGAAGGTGGAGCCATCGTGACGGTGCGGGGAATCGGCTTCGGCAGCTCCGCTGTCACATCCCAGGCTTGGGCAACGATGACGAATGACATGTAATGATGATGTTCACAGCTGTTAGTGATGCATCATGACCGTTCTTGTCAGCCTCATCACAACCGTTGTTGGACCTTAGCAGGACTCTTCGCGACATTCCTGCCGTGATGCGTCATGCAGCTTTCAGCTTGCGTGCTGATTCTTCCAGCATCTGTAGTTGTTATGACAACGACAGTGGCTACTTCCTGCTCAGCCGACATGTGGCACCCGTCTTCGGCAGACTTGTACTTGCAGTCCTGTTTCGTTTGTTTGCCGGTGTCGCACTTTGTCATGGTCTTAGTTTCCATTCGGCCAAGCTTAGGAGGGAGTAGACTTCACGGTGTTTCGTCATACCAACTCCCTCGCACAAACAAAAATAGAAGTGCGCAACGGTCGAAGGATTTCCTGATCATCGTTTGGCTGTTATCTATTTGCAGGAGGGTGCGAGGTTCGGCTGTTAATTTAAGGTTGTGTAGAGATTGAGTTCAAGCGTTGACTGCGTCCTGCCATAGAGTCTTGTGCTATCTTGTGCTGCTGTGCCGTAACATCCCAGTCCCACACAAGCAAGCGATCTTCTGTCAGCTGACCGCTGCTGCACTGGGAACGCTGGCAGACGTCGAGAGCTGGTCGCCGACTGAGGCCTTGTCGGGAACGGCTTTAGCGTATTTGTATCTGCTGCGACGAGAACAGCGTTAAATCAAGCCAGCTGCTGGCATTGCCGCTGAATGTCTTCTTGGAGGATTGTCGACATTCATAGTCTGGGAGTGACCAAAAAGACTTTGCGGGTGGGTTCGGGCAAACGTCAGTCACACTCCACAATCTGAAAGATTCAGCAGACTTTCTTGGCAATCAGCTGCTGCGCAGATTGTCTTCGTTACCCGGAAGCTGACGCTGAATGTTGAGAAGGTTGTCCCTGGCCTCAGTTTGAAGCAGTCGTCCCGTTTGCTATCATCCTAGTTCAGGATGCTCTGAATGCCGGTCACAGGGAGGTGCCTTATTCACTCGGCAACTTGCGTGATTGCAGGACATTGGGTTAAGACTGGTGGAGGCTGATTTCAGTAAGTTTCCAGGGAGCTTCTGCAGACGTCGAGGGAGGTATTCAGGAAATATTTCGACATCTCATGTATCATCGGGGCTCAATGTGCCTCTACACCCAAAGCCAGTACAGGTGCTGTTAGAACCAATGTTGTTGCTACCATTGTGAGAACTGCCCACGACCTGCCGAACCCTTGCTACCACTGATTCCTGCTCGTATCTTTCAGCTCCTGCACTGTGATCTGCTAAGGACATCATGACGAACCTCATCAGTGCTGCCCACAAGTGCGGCACTGGTCCCGATCCTAACCCGGCCATGACCCCAGCAAATGTGGGACCTGATCCAGGATTTGGGCCTCAAGCGCATGCTTCAAGGAAGGTGATGAGTCGAAGGTTTAGAGCATCGAGATGTTTTTGGGCTCAGGATGTAGAGTTTAGGGTGTAAGATCGAGCATGCGAAGCCGAAGATGGCCCCTTGACACCGCTTGTGCATAGAAGATCCCAAAGTTCAGAAAGCCGAGCAGTGATGCGTTCCTAGGGGTGTTATCTCTGAAGTGTTTTGGTTATGCAAACCTGCATCCTCATTCATAGGGAATCGGGCCCTTAGGGGGGTAGGGGGGAGGGGGGGTAGGGGACTATACCTCCTCCCGATTATAGGTATTAAGGCCCCCTACCCCCTCCCCCCTCTCCCCGTTTGACTCATAGATCCTTGAAAACAGGTCAGAATCTGCTTTGCCTCTCTCGGGGTGGCTGTGATTTCTTGCTTGCGATCAGTTATACTTCTGACCTAGTGGCATTATCTTCGTGGCAAAGTTCAAAGGGACACGCATGGACATCAACGCACAGTTTTGTTGTTCCTTTAATTTGGGAGGCAGTGCGAATTCGCTTTATCAGCGAGCTAGAGTGAGTAAGAATGGTCAGAAAGGAATAGTTGAACACTATCCATTACTGGACCAACCCGAGACCACGAAGCATACACCCTAAAACCGTATAGGTACACAATCAAAATTCCTAAATGGCCCCAGCCCTGCGGCCCCAGAGCCCGAAGGCCACGACCACCACTACGACAATGGGCCAAAATCTCGTTCTGGACCTTGCGCCGGTCGATCTGGGCCCCATCAGCGAGGCATCTCTGCCAAATTGAAGCACCAAAACAACATGAACAACATGAAATAGTATCATATCTTACGGTGAGATTCTTTTTAAATCAGCTAACATATCATGGCATACTACATATACCATGGTAAAGTAGGATGATTCAGTACTCTTTTCGTGCTCTGGAGCTTCTTCAGAGCCCGCTTCGACCCTAAACCTTAACACCCAAAACCATGCATAGAAGCCTGAATAATTGCCGATATTCTTCCTTAGGGCTCCTGATTGCTGATTATAGTTATAGTATATTACGGTATAATCAAGGAGCCCATAACCCTATTCTACTTATCACGGCCCCAACATAAACCGTTTGTATCCCATGGCCAGGACTGCAACCACAAGGCTTTCCGGGCCTACGTGACGCCAAACGTCACTGCCATGTCGCCGCGTGAGGGCAATGCTGGAGAGACTCGCCTGGAGCTAGGAGCTTTGAATTAGAGTTTAGGGTTTAAGGGTTTAGGGTTTAGGGTCTAGAAGTTTCACACCACCTTGTTATGAAAAGGTCTGACGAGAGTCAGTCTCTTGTGTGTGTATGCAACTATACAGCCACACATTCATACAAACATGTTGTGTCTATGGATGCATGGGAAGGTGGTGATATATATATATATATATATATGTATATGTATATATATATATATATATATATACATATATATATATATATATATAGATATGCACACACACACACGCGAACATACATATATACATACATACATCTCGGAATGGATCTGCATCTGCTCGCAATACAGTTCAATAATCATTCATCGCTCAAGCCGCGAATCCCACAACCCTAGTGGCTGGATAAGAAGCTGCCCAGGCCTCGTGCTGGTGGTCCTTGGTTCTTTGTTCCGTCTGTATTCAATGCTTGTCAATAGTTTTACATGCCTGCATGTTTAACTTCGGCGGTAGCCGAGAACTCAGATGCCCGCAAGAAAAGTTCTCGTCGGGCATCTTGATTCCTGGCTCTGTGTTCCTGTCGGTTTCAAGATCTCCCACTTCACAGCTAGATGCATAGCAACTTATACTTCATGTTTGGAATGGGAAGCATCGGCTCGCAGGTTTGAGGCTGCAGGGTTTTGGGCTCAGGGGGTTGGGGCACCGTGCCGGTGGATCATGGAATCGGTTAAGACTACATGCGAAGCGATGAACAGTGATATACAAGCTTGAAGAGTCAGTAAGCTCATCCCCCCTCTGAAGAGGGAGAACGGATCATGCTATTTGGGATATTGTTTGATGAAGTTCTGCCAGGCCCACTCGGAACGGAACTGGCAACCTCATAGGGCATGCACCCTAAGCCCATACCTTATATCTGTATACATATGTGTACTTGTATGTGTGTGTATATATATATACATCTATCTGTCTGTCTATCTGTAAATTTAATTGTCTATCTATATATATATATGTATATATATATATGTTTATCTATCTACCTATATCATATAACTCATATTATATGTCGTATGTTGCATACAGCAGATTAAGAGTTATACATTAAACTTTATGTACCCTCAAGCCTAAAGCCCAGCGTTTGTAGATTTCTGCTGGGGGTCTAAGGCCAAGTGCGGCTGTTGTGGCCAATTGAGCTTCCAATAGATTCAAAGACAGGAGTCAATCTACACGCATGCTGTTGTCGATGAATCAGCATGGGCTTGAAACTGCAATATGTGCAGCGATAAGTCGACGATAGGTGTGTATGTCTTGGTGGTGAGGTCGGATGTATACAGTTTGTTACGACTGCATGAAATGGGCTGACGCGGCAAACCGCCAGCATGCTGAATGCCTGAAGTCTCCGGACCCTTTTGTAAGGACAACATCAGCGTCACGATCAATATGCCGGATGGCTACGCGGAGCCACTCAGTCGGGACCCCGGGCGACAATCGGTCCGGTGCATACACCGTGTCATGCCAGCGCTTGCAGGGTCAGAGAGTGTGTGTTTCCTTCCCGCTAACCCAGAGACCCAAGACAACAAGTGTTAAGATGTCGTTCTTGCCGTTGGCTAAATCTTCATCAGGCCTGCTTCGAATGGTTACACATAGGCTCCCTGGTGCAAGTGAAACCGTAGCATACCAACGACATTGCAGAAGACTATCGCTGCTGCCGTTGTTGCTTTTGCGATGGCGGCAGCTACTACTATGCTGCTGCCGCCGCCATTGAGGCTGCTGCTCTTTGCTAGTTACTACTTCCACAGGTACTACAGCTCACTACTCTATAGCTACTCCCACCGCTACTCTTACTGCTACCGGTACTGCTACCACCACGACGACTACCAGTGCTAGGACTGCTTAGGCTATTGCTACCACTGCTGCGAGTACTACTGCTGCTACGACCACTGCTACCCCTGCCGGTGCGATCATGGCGGCGACGACTGCTACGATTTACGACGGCTTCGACCATCGTCACTGAGTTATCGCTTCTTGTTAGCTTACTGCCATGTTTGTTGCTTACGATCCCTTTCTGTCCGTTTTGCTCTTACTGCAGTTGTTTTGGACGCTGCTGTTTCACGACCACATGAACGAAGGATAGGTCTGTCCTTCTGCGCGAGGTGCTGGCAACATCTCCGTGTTCCTGGGAGCACATGTGCCTTGGACTTCTTGGACTTGCATGCCAGGACAGTAAGCTTATGGTCTACTATACTCTCGCGTGGTGAGCTCAAAGTGTTAGTTTCAAATGTCTGGTAGTCGTGACTTTCCTGGGCAGGCCTGCCCGCACAGCCTGGCCAGCAAAGACGGGTCCATCATTGTCGTGCCCTCCAGAGTCTGACGCAGGATGCTTTGAGCCGCCCATGTACTGCCACTCCAACCCTAAACCAAGCTTCCTCCCCCCTAAACCCTAAACCCGCTCTTTTTCGTCGGGAGCAGATCTGGGCGGCTTTCGGGGTCCTTCCTCCCAGTCTGAAGATTTCCAGTGTGCCAGGTACAGTGTACCGTCCCTGAGTTCGAGGCCTCCACCGTACCAATCAAGGCCAGGATCCACTGTTTAGGGCTTTAGGGTTTAGGACGGTTGAGTTAGGGGTTTAAAAAGGACAGAAGCATGAGCATTTTGTAGGTATACCCCTACCTTATTGGGCTTCAGCAAATGGGGGTTTAGACAGGATTTCCCCATTCCTATTTTTGCGTACGTGTTTTTGTTGCGGCCCTATGCAGGGTTTGGGGTTTAGCATGGTTGAAGGGGCCCTTCTGGTTTCTGGAATGCCCTGCAAGTCGTCTTGACGGAACCGAGTGCCTATGAGCCGGGGCTTCCAAGACCCAGAAGAGTCCAACCCAACTACCCTAAATCCTAAACCCGAAACCCGAAACCCTGAACCAACAAAAGCAACCCGAAGCCCACAAAGCCACCAGAAGACCTGGGATAGGAGCCTCCAAGAATCCCTTTGCAGGACCCCTCCCCGAAAAACGCATGTTTCACGTGCGTGGAAGTACCATGGCGGCCGTACTAGCTACATGAGGATGAGTTTACTAACCATTTAGGCCCTTACATGTAGGCCTTGTTATATATGTATATATGTCTGTATCAAGATCTCAGTCTGGATCTATACAAAAAGATATACCTATATATATATATATATATCTGTATGCCTATATATCTACATACCTGTACATATATATATATATATGTATTATGTGTGTATATGTATATGTATATATATATATATATGTATGAGGCCCTCTTCTGCCGGCCCAGCCCCAGGTAAGGCTGCTCCCTCTCGGCTACGCACGCTTTCCGGACAGCCTCTCTGAGTTCACGCCCTTTGGGCCTGGTTGCAGTTTTTCTTTCGAAACCTGGGGGATTCAGGGTTTAGGATTTAGGAAGCTGGGGGGGTTTAGGGTTTTGGAAACTGTAGGGTTTAGGAAACTGGGGGTGTAACTGTAGATTTTAGGCTCATGGATGGTAGTAGTTCGGTCCGCGAAGAGCTCTGGTTCTAAGCGGCTCCTAGCATTTGCATGCGTTCTGAAAGGGGCCGCGACGTTTACTGGTGTTTGTGGCTTCTTTGTGCAAGAGCGGATGCCCACAGGACAGAACGGATGGTTTCGTGTCAACAGCTGTCGGCAGCCCGTCCAGCATCGTCCAACTAGAATATATCGTGTATATCTTTAACCTGAGTATACCGCTCAACCCTAAACTTAACCCCTATACCCTAAATCCTAAACGGAACTCCAGGAACCCGGAACCCCGAAGCACCCATGTTTCTGCCTGAACCCTGCAATCACAAGGCAGCTGCTGCCCATCGACTCGGTGTCGCCAGATTCCATCTCAAAGGGTGGCGGACAGGCCCGGGTATCTGCCTGCCAGCTTGATTTGCTTCAAGGCCTTCTTCGATACTTCATCGAGCTGAACTCGGTTTGGCGTCAGAGACCTCTCATCGTCGTGGGATGAGCCGCCTTCCCTACCTTCGACTCTAAAGCTCGCCAGGTCACGATTTTTGGCAAGGGCTTCGCAGCGACACCCTCCAGACATTTCGTCCGCCCCGTCCTTACCGTGAGAGCAGCTGTGGTTCAACCTTTAGAGACCCAAGCTGCGGATGTGCTGCTTGCGCCTAGAAGGACAGTTGAGCCCAAGCTTAAAGCCTTAAGCCTACTTGGACGTTCATGGGTAGTAATATAAATGGGCTTACAAGTCCCCCCATATAGGGTATAAGTATAGTTACCCCCACTTCTAATACTTATAACCCCACTTCTAACTACCCATGAACCTCCCCCAGTACCACAGCCGAAGACTTCGTCGTTTGAGGATTCGGATCGAACCCTTGGAGCTCCTGCGACCCCATTGCCTCGGGCTATGCCTCCTTGACATGCTGCTTGGCCGGAAGACGGGATCCCCAAAAGGTTTTGGGGTACCTTATCTTGGGCTCCTTGTAATAAGGATCCTAAATACTGTTTAGGGTACTATATTGGGGTCCCCTATAAAAGGTTTGAGAGTGCAAAAACCCAGGCCCCGTGACAGACAGTCCCTTCTGAAAGGTTTTGGGCTCTTTGCGAAGACGTTCTTTCAGAAAGTTCGACCGCGTATGCATGCTCGACTGGCTCTGCATAGCCGCATCTCAAGAATGGCTTCTCCGCATGGAGGCGATTTAAACTATACTGGGTCAGGATGGAAAACTCTGCAACGGAAACTGCACCACTAAGAAGTGCATGACCACTCGTTCGGCTTGTCAGTTTCAAGGACGATGTGTTCAGGATGCAGACTTGGCCACACTTAACCTATCTGAGGCAAGCTGAACCACCGAGCTTTCGACGAGGACCGGAAATCGATGTGCTGTAGCGTTTCGGAGCCTACCTGTCCCACGCCATCATTCAATGCCAATGCCTTAGCAGGTTGTGTCTTTTGTTCGTTGGGTCTCGGTTCTTCGTTCCAGGACTCTGCCAACTGGGGCACCATGGATTTGGAGGTGTCCCTCTGGGACACAGAGGCGTGGATTAACCCGACAAGTCTTAGCCGATCCTGTACGAGACGAAAGCTGCTAGCAGTTCACGAACGGCCTTGAAGTCCATGCACCTACCCGAAAGCTGTAAACCCCCCTAAACCTAAAGCCCTTAACGCGAAAGCCCGAACCCATCCGAAGGTGGCAAGGAGCCCACTTTCAGCCTTCGGCGAAGCGGCAGCAGGATGCCTCAGGCAGGGGGGGAGGGTAGGTGTAGAGCTTGGGGATCAAAACTGGATCTAGGGTTAAGGGGATCGAAAGAGGCTCCAAGTTTTCGATGTATGCTGCTGCCACATGTAGCACTAGAAGGAGCGATAAGGGGGGTTAGAAGAAATAAGAGACAGCAAGCATAATGGTTGTAGTAACCAGAACCGTAAGGCCAGAGCACTGGTGGCTGCAGAAACCGTACAAAGTAGCAGCAGCAACACCTGCAGAGCTCAATGAGGCACCAATCACAACTGAAGTCGTTTCACAAGCTCAGTAGAAGCGATCGAAAACAGCAGTAAAACTAGTGACGATGACGCTGCTTTCGGGAACTTCATTGAGAGTCTGGCCATGAATCCAGGGCAAGAGCTTTCATCTTGAAATCGTGGACCTTGGCCCTGCGGAGCCAATGGGACCCGTGGGTTCTGGAATGGGGGTTTGGCATCCTTTACCTTGCGCCATTAATATTCAATTCTTGTGGCTACTCATGGTATTGTATCGTAACTGCCAAATATAGTTATTGTTATCAGTTTTAGTACCATTGCTGTGGTCTGCCTCGTCTCACCAGGGGCAACGACAACTACCGGACCTACAACTGCATGAGCCAGGTGGGTGTAAGAAGCCAGCTGGTGCCTTCCCGTTTGTGTGAGAAATGGCCTCAGGTTGTGACGGGCACGGGCGGGGTTTGTCAGCATTTGTCAGCAGTGCGTACTGACGTGCTCTGGCTTCTGAGCGACCTGTCTCTCTTAGTGTGGGGCTATCGAGTACTATCGAGATGTGCCACTGTCACTCACACCCACTGATGGATGAAAGCAAGCATTGCGAATCTCCCGCCAGCACAGTAAACCGAAGACTCTCCCTCCACTGTGAATCTCGACGGCGCAGTCGGAGCTTGAGGGAAAACCCTGGCAGGAAGAATGTGCGCTCCGGTGTCTCACGACGCACGACTGCGCCTCCTTCGACTACCGTGCAAGGCCCGGATGGTGAGATGTAGCGAACCGAATCCCAGCCTCCAGTTCCGGGCTTGTAGGAGACGGAGCTGCTTGAGCTTTGAGCCCTTCGAGTGCCGTGCATGTGCCCACAGCAAGTTCAAGTGGCAGGTTTGGGGTTCGAGCAAACCCTGCGTGTTGAAGATCAAACATCCCTCAGCGGCTTTGCATGCAGCACATAAACCCTCAATCAAGCATGATCGGTAAAATCGTACCGAGCTCGCAGCAGCTGGAGCACGCCGGACTTGCATAGAGAACTCACCAGCCCCGCGACTTGGCCCCGCTAAACACACACTTGTTGAAGGTTAGTTCAAGCGACATCTGAATCTGTCTGTGTTTTCGTCTGCATGCATGCATGCACTCATGCAGTTATTACGTATGCATACTTATGGACAAACGTGTTCATAGATGACGTTGTTCTTGTTTCAATGCTCGTATCTCTAGCCAAAGTCTGCTTGCAACACTGGAAGTCACCAAGCTTTGCATGTATACGGTATGCCCATACAATATTTGTACATGTTTAGTCGCATGTTTGTATATGTACATACTGCATAACTGCATGCGATCGTACAGATGTCAGAAAGAGAGGGAGAAAGCATGAGTGATCTCCTTCGCTGATCAAAGTTATCACCCCGAGAAAGCTTCTGACGGCTGCAGTATCTTGAGAACCCTTTAGATGTGGCAGGCTTCAGCGGTGCTTCATGGCCCGCACATCCTTCTCGCGGTGCTCCGACTGTAAGGACCAAGGCGGGCGGCTACTTGACCTGGCCAATTCTCGCTCGCTCGCTCGCTCGCTCTCTCTCTCTCTCTCTCTCTCTCTCTCTCTCTCTCTCTCTCTCTCTCTCTCTCTCTCTCTCTCTCTCTCTCTCTCTCTCTCTCTCTCTCTTCCTCCGTGCCTTCCTGCCAAACTGACACCGTGGACCCGTCATGCCGTAGCTGACTACATGGGCTCCCTGCAGCACGCCTTCAATGGCACAACTTGCTGCAGTGGGATGCGCTGCCGCATGGTCGGCTTCTGGAGTGGAGGAAGCATCAAGGACCTCGACTTTGCAACGGCCAACTCAAGCAATCCTCATCTTTCGCCACACACCTCACAGCCACCATCACAGCCTCGTTCGCACTAGTATGGAGGCACTGTTACTTCTTCCACTATCATTGTCGCCGTCTTGCTGTTTCATCGAAACCTACATCCTCACGGCTTCAGCCCACAGCTGCGGACAGGCTTTCTCGACTGCCGCTACTTCGAGCGCCGCACCGAGAAGCGCCTCGGCGCCATTCACCGCAGCTGTATGGATAAGGAAGAACTCTGAGAGATTCTCATCATATGGGGGTCGGAATATTTGTAAATAATATCACCGCTCCGTATATACTTATTCTATTACCTATTCCTAGGCTCTAAAGCCTCGTCTAGTTATTGAGGCCCTACATTCTGCAAACTGTAACCGAAATAGGTCATAAGCTTAGCCCATGCTCCACGTCCCGTCAGATGCAGAAGGGAAGACTTCGTGAGATTGCAAGGGGTGGTGCGAGAATATGCAACAGCTTTCCCCCACAACGGTGGTTGTCAAAGTTATGGCCCCTTTTTGGGGTCCCTATTATAATACGAAACCTATAATGTAGGGTACCCAAAAAGGGACCCTAATTTTGACAGCTTTCCCCCACAAGAAGGAGAAGGAAGTCTTTCAAAGTCCGGAAGCTGAGGACAGCTCGGGCGGCTGTGACATCCACGCCGGGCAGCCAAGATTTTCAGCTCGGCTTGGCCAGAGAGTGGTCTTACTTACCATGGGAGTTTCCGAAGATAGGGGGCGCTCATACAGTATCCCCAAAAGTAGGATCCTGATTATCAGGTCCCCAAAATAATTAAGGTACCCCTATTTTCGGAAACTGCCCAGAGAGGGTCGGAGTGGTTTAGAAAAGATATCGATTCCCAGCAATGACGGAGGTCCTGTGAAGAATGCAACGCCCTCTTGAAGCGAAGCAGGAAGAGCGCCGCCTTCACCTTCAGAAACAGCCACACGCCGAACATCGAGCTGATGTACACTTTGCCCGAGCCCTGGCGATGAGGATGGCGATGGCGATGGTGGTGATGATGATGGTGACGATCGGCAGCCTGCCAAAGGATCATGTGAGCCTAGAGCTCCACTTCTTTATACAGTCTGCAAGTGCCGGAGGATAGGTGCCAGAAAACCGATCCTACTGATCTCAAAGAGAGTTTCACAAACTAAGTGCCCACTACAAGTAAGAGTACATAAATATTAGAAGCTCCCTGTGTTTCTCCAGGCCTGCCACGTCCCGGGATGGTCTCCAGGCACACTCTCAACCAGATGTCTTCGGGAATAGCTTGCATACATGCATACAAAGATAATAATTAATTTAAACGTAATTAAATAGCTAGAATGTAAAGGAGCTCGTGAGGGTGCGAGACAGTTGAGCATGGGTTTTGCATGCATCCCACCTGAATTGAGTTGCTGTTGGCGGCTTAGTATGCCGCGCGAGTGCTCTGCGCTTAGAAACGGCATGGCGACCTTCGCGGCCTTGCTGCTAAGACAGATGCAGGGTTGGGGTTCTGGAGCATGTCGGCAGACATCACACTCGATCCCCATCCCCATCGTTGCCTACCGCTTTATCAACTGAATGTCATGTTGCTACTAGGATTATTTTGACGCGGCGCGGCATGATCGTGATGGTATGCCTGTCTTTCGTGTCGGTGCCAGGGCACCGCGGTCGGCTGTGGCTCCGACGCCGCCGATCTAGAGAACGGC